CAAAGTCCCAAAACTCTATCAAAGACCACCAGAACAATTTAAACCAGAAAACATAAACCCTGTTCAGTTTAAGAAGGCCGTTTCAGGCCCCGCTTTTTGTCAAAGGCCCATAGAAGGCTCCCCACCTTCGCCGACCTGCCGGTCGACGATCGCCTCGCGCAGATCGGGACGCGAAAGGGAGGGACATCCGACGCTTTGGGGTTGGGGGGGCGGGAACTTTCTTTTCGGTTTCAGGGGCTTCCTTTCAGGGGCTCCCTTTGAGGTTATGCTTTCCGACCCACGCCTGTGAGCTTTGGGGCTTCGGGGGCTCCAGCTTGGGGGGTTTTCGGCTGCTACGACGACGTGTTTTGAAGTTGAGGGCTTCGTCCATCGGTATATGGGAGTTTGGGCTTCGGGTGGTGGGCTTAGCTCAGGCGATGAGGATGAGGGCTCCAAAAGCTTAAAGACTAGGGATACTTGTCCTGACACCCTATAAGCATCCCTAAAAATTCAGGATGAGATGAGGACGATAAGGGTGATGCCGATGCTGCGGGTAGCGAGGACGAAGATGAGGCGAAAACGCCGACGATGGTCGCTTGGCACTACTACCTCACTTTTTCGGGGCAGGGACTTTGCTCCGAGCAGACAGTCACAGGATCGAGCTTGTGTAGTAGTAGGCCTTCCAAGCTTAACGCACCTAGAAGCCCCCGAAGCGCCACAAAGTGCTGACGTGGTGATGCCCTGCTTTCTGGAAGGTCGTGAGGATGGGAGGTCCAAAATAGCACGAAGATTACGAACCGTCTCTAATCCGAAGCCCGTCAAGACGACGAAAGCCCTCGAATGCCGAATCCCTCAAACTCGAAAACTCTGCAAGGTCCGAAAAACAATCTCCCTTATAAGGCCGATTGCAAAGAAAACGAAAAAGGGTCTGAACCCCTAAGACCAAGCCCACCCAAAGCCGAAGGATCTGCCTGAGCTTGGCCGAGCGCGGCCCCGGTGTTGTTCCTCGGTGTTCAGCTTTGCGAGTTCGGGGGGCTAATGGCTTCTCTTCTTTTTCAGGGTTTTGGGGGGTCTTGGGTCTGAGTGGTTATGGCTTTTCTTGGTTTTCGGTTTCGGGGTTCTTAGGTCTGCAGTTTGGGGTTTGTGTTTCTGCGGTTTGAGGCGGGTGACTCCCCATACCCACGGTCCAGTTTCGAACTTACAAGGCCTTCCTGCATGCAAGATGGCTAGAGACACTCTGCTTTGGCACACACACACACACATCTGCAGCTTGGCCTCCTCCTGTGGAGGGTTCTGTGGAGACGAAGGGTTTGCGCTCACGATGTGAACAGCGAGCGATTGTCTTCCTGCAGATTTTCCTCTAAGCTGAGCCCGGTGCTACCCAGAACGTCGCGCCGAAGCCTCGTCGGATGGAAAGGACTCTTCTCATGCTCAGCGCCATCCACCACATCAATGCGTTTCAGGGAAACATGCCTGGGGACATGCAGTGCTGTCAATGCTTGGCGAGGTGCATGGGACTCCATTTCTCACTCTGCCAAAAGCCGATTTCGCTATTGACTTGGGGATTGGATACCCTGCGCTTCGGCATGGGCCTGGTGACTGCGTGAGACTGCTGGCTACATGTGACCATTGACAGCGGCCAGCATCAGAAACGGTCGTACACGTTTCTTCCCGTGCCGCATATATTGCCCGCACAATGAGCAAGCGAAGGATTTGGGTTTCAAGGTTTACATACACGCTACACCCAGCTGGGCCAAACGCTCGACACTCGCCTACTCCAAACCTATACCGAAACTTGGGAGTGGCTGTAAGCCCTTCGGTCAGAATCAGGAGAGCAAGAACATCAGTAGCGCAGTGGGAGCTTTGCCAACAAAAGTGTTGGTGAAGGCATCCCATTAGAGATCATGACTGCGCTGTCGGAAGAGGCAGGAAAGGGGACCAGCTTGAAAAGATGAGCCGTGGAGATCTTGTAACCTTGATGATCACATAACCGCATTCAACAGACCATGGTTTCTGAACATAAGCGAAATCTTCCTATGCTACAAAACTCCGAATGTTGCGGCCAACGGCACGGGATGTAAAGCAGCGAGAAAGAAGCAAAATGCTTCTTCAGGAGCCAAAGAGGCCACACACAACCACACAGAGATCTCGCCAATGGAGGTTCAAAGGCAGGGCCTCTATTCTACTTTCAGGGATCCTTCTTCAACCGTATGTGTGTGCTCCAGCCGTAGACTGCAACGGTCCTTGCACGAATTGGATTCCAAGGGTCGAGGCCCGGCTGTGCAGGTCCTAGTTAAGGCTTGGCATATCAGGGAAAGGCAAGGGTTTAGAAGTAGCGGGGTTTAGGGCTTAAGGGTTTGGGCGGCGTCTAGGGCCTAGGGTCCTGCAGGGTGGAAGGATGCAGCAGTCTCCTAATCCATCGCATCCCCTCTCGGTGCGTCCACAGTCCTAAAGCCAACTGCCAGACCGCCAAACCTTGAAGACATTCCCGACCGCATCAACCCCGACCACTTGATTGCAAATCCCAGGTTTTAGGATTTACGGCCTACTCTCGCGTTGAGGATGCTTTATTTCAGGTCGAGAAGGCTTGGAACTCTAGTCTCCGGATCGTTGAAGGTTACGGGTCGTTTGGTTTCGGGTGTGGGGACCGAAGGTCAAGCGTTGAGGATTCAGAATTTGGATTTCCGGTGTCGGCATAGCCCTCTCTATCTATCTATCTATCTATCTATCTATCTATCTATCTATCTCTATATATATATATATATATAGAGGCTTTCGCATCGAAGCAGGGCCTCTGATCCTCCGACATGTCTAGCAGATCCTTGTGCGCGCGAGCAGCTTCCCGTCGAGACCAGTAGACGTGCTGAATTGTAAATATTCGCGTAGAGGGATCTGGGCAGTTGATATTGCAGGTTCTTCAACCCTGAAACAATCAAACCGTTCAAGATACTACAGATTTTCCGGAGGTTCGTTTAGGGCTTGTCATCTTTCGATGGGGAGTACCTCGCAAGTTGAAATGCCGAAGTTGTCGTACCCCAACAGCAGGGAAGCTTGCTCTCGCCCATCGTCTGGCGCAAAATGCTAAACCCGCCAAGGCTGCGAATTCAAAAACTCGCGATCATGAGCCCTGGCGCAGGTGGCGCAGTGCTTCCATGTGCGCGTCTGCAAGGCCGTAGATCTCCTGGCATTGGCGTGACAGTCGGATGTTGGAAGCGGGTTCGACGACCAAGGGCCGATGGGATTGCACGTCGCAGGCTTCAGCTTGAGGTCTCGGGGTGTACTGTAACCTTCTAAGCGTAGCTGTCTAGAGCTAGCCAGGATCGCCCTCTCAAGCCAGGGGAGTCAGCGACGGCCTGTGCCCAAGTCGCTCGTCATGCCCGGTTTAGGGTTTACTTATTGTCTCCATTGTAGTTCCTTTTGTAGGTTTAGCAAATTCTATCTAGGATCCCATAAAGTAACATAGACAAGGAGCTACAGTGGAGCACTTATGTCTACAGTCTACAGTCTAGAAGTTTCAATAGGGAGCTAAAAATTACAGGGTGCAGCGGTTTAGATGGAGGGCGGGCACGCATGTCGACGCCTGTCATGATGATACGAAACATCTGGATCACGATCACCACCAAATCATCTTGAGCGTCAGCATCGTCCTCATCAGCAGCAGCAGCAGCAGCAGCAGCAGCAACATGATCTTGACTGTAACGGGTTCATGTAAGTTTCCTGCTAGGACTAGGAGGCCGTCGACCTCTGATCCTCCGACCTGTCTAGCAGATCTGTGAGTGCGAGCGGCTGCCCATCGACATTATCGCACATCTAGACATGCCAAAACTCGCATAGAGGGTGTTAGGCAATTGATACTGTAGGTTCTTTAACCCTGCAACAATCAAGCCGCTCAAGATGCTGCTGATTTTCCGGAGGGCCGAAGGTTTAGGGTTTGTCATCTTTCTATGGGCAGCATCTCGCAAGTTGGCATCTCGAAGTTGTCTCGAATGCTAAACCCGCCGAGGCGGCGGAATTAACTCGCGATCATAAGCTTCGGCGCCGGCGGCGCAGCTCTTCCAAGTGCTCGCGTGACAAGCCGCGGATCTTCCCGTCCTGGCACCAACGTGACAAGCCGTGGATCTTGCGAAGCGGGTCGGAGGGCCAAGCAAGGGCTGAGGTGTCGCAGGCTTCGAACGGATCTCTGGGGACGGGCCTTCTGGAGAACGAGGATCAGAAAAACACCGGCTTTTCTCTTTCTTTGCGAAATCTCCGAGGAGGCGAGGACCCGGGTCCAAGTCGCAACCTCTAGATCTGAAGCTTTGAGGCAAGCGAGGACTGGCACTACGTGTTCCCATTGCCCCACCTTTACTGTGAACTCTGTTGACCTTCTTTGTAGCTTGTTGCATGTTGATGCTTCCGTTGATCGACGTGGATGCGACGCCATTCTCCCGCGCTGTTCCGAGTAGCTGCACCAAACTAGGGACTGCTGCACACGGGGCAGCAGTACTTGTGGCTGACATGGCGCTTGAGTTCAAGGAGCAATGCTGCTGCCTTCCCTCAACCTAAGGGCCGAGTGACAGTCTAGTAATGGTTCGATTCAGGGCAGTACTCATAAGATTGCTACAGCCAGCTGTAATGTTGGCCAAACTGCGGCCATGACGTTTGCAATGAGAAGTGTACTACCCACGTCGATGCAAGTCAGCTCGATCACGGTCACCACCAAATCATCTTGAGCGTCAGCATCGTCCACATCATCTGCAGCTGCAGCAGCAGCAGCGGCAATATGATCATGACGGTAACGGGTTCATGTAAGTTTCCTGCTAGGACGCCTCCGTCGGCATGCTTTGCTGCAAACTCAACGAGCTCGCGTCCTTCATGAGCTCAGGGCAGCGGGACAGCGCCGTGAGGAGCCCGGCGACGCCATCGGCGCCCTTGGAATTTTCGCGGAAGCACCTGGGCCGGGGCTGAATCAGAAGTCCGTGCCGAAGAGCTTCGGACGCTTCTGCTACTTGTATCTAAGACCATCTCTCAGACCAGGTGTCATCTTGTGAAACGGTTGGATGGCTGCCACCTCGAAGTTTCGGACCGCTCCCACATCCCCCTCGCACCCCAGCACAACCATCTCGAGAGCATCCACGAACACTCCAAAAGGCGCCAAAAAGCCGAGGCGCCCGTCGAAGTTCACCGTCGTCAGCTTCGACCACCGGGCGCCCTCGAGCTGCTGCCACGCCGCCGCTGGAATCTGGCTGCAGTGTACCATGCTCAGATCCTGGCTGGTTCGGCCAGGGTTCTTCAGAAACTTCGAGCCCTGTCCCCTTTGCAATACTCGGAGCCGGGAGCTAACCACTGAGCCTGCGCTTGACTGTCGTCACCCTCCGAGGCTCTAAAACTCCGAGGCTCAAAACAGGCGTGAATCCTGAGAGAGAGATCCGAGTGCGAGGACGTTTCCCTTCTTCGCACGAGGTGGGCAGGTGGGTGGGGTGGGTGGGCAGTCGCAATGCACAACTTCGTGGTGACATGTTGTTGCGAATGGAGATCCAACTCTCCCGCGGCGAAAAAGACACCCTTCAAGCGCTGGGTGCCTGCTTCTCTTCTCGACGGAATTTCCACGCTTCGCGCGGCGACCCCTTTCTCCATGGATGTGAGCTTCGCAACGGGCATTCACTGATAACCTAAAGGAATTAACAACTCTGCACGGGCCATGCCCTTCACACCCTGTGCAACTTCCCTACGATCACATCACTGCAAAAGCCCGGGAGTGCTTGGCCCCGGTCCGAGGCCAAAAGGGCCCCAATTTTCGTTTCTTGCTGGGGAGCTTTCTCGGCTTTTCTGCGAGCCTGACCCAGCGATGCCGAATGCCATGCTTGTATTTCTCGTGCTACTTTGTGAACGCTGTTGATGTCTGGTGTTCGACAAATCGCCCTTCTGCCCGCACAAACCCCGGGGAGGTCGGTCCAACTGAACGTAACTAGCAAGACGATGCCTTTAGCGTGTGCAGTACTCATAAGATTGCTACAGCCAGCTGTATAGTATTCGCCAAACTGCGGCCAACTTGATGACGCTGACCCCGCAGCAGCCGCAGCAGCAGCAGCAGCAGCAGCAGCATGAGCATGACGGTAACGGTAAGTTTCCTGCTAGGAGGCCTCCGTCGGCATGCTTTGCCTGGCCTTGTGATGGCAGTGGCGACCCTTTCCCCCCGAAGGCTCTTTGGTGTTACTGCAAACTCAACGAGCTCGCGTCCTTCAGCTCAGGGCAGCGGGCCAGGGCCGTGAGGAGCCCGGCTGCGCCCTCGGCGCCCTTGGATTTTTCGCCGAAGCACCTGGGCCGGGGCTGAATCAGAAGTCCGTGCCGACGAACTTCGGACGCTTCTGCTACTTGTATCTAAGACCATCTCTCAGACCAGGTGTTTTCTTGTGAAACGGTTGGATGTCTACCACCTCGAAGTTTCGCACCGCTCTCACATCCCCCTTGCACCCCCACCACCATCTCGAGAGCATCCACGAACACTCCAAAAGGCGCCCGAAAAGCCGAGGCGCCCGTTGAAGTCCACCTTCGTGAGCTTCGGCCACTGGGCGCCCTCGAGCTGCTGCCACGCCGCAGCCGGGATTCCATCGCAGTAGCCCATCAGCAGCTCCTGGCAGGATCGGATTGGTTGTCCTTCGCTTTCGGGGGTCGCCTCTCTTCTCATATGTCTCGGGTCCAAGAAGGACTGAAGGTTTTCCGGTGTTTGCGGGCTTTGGACCGAAGCGAGGCCCCCGGGGACGAGGAATTTAACTTTTCGCAATTTACCGATACGAGTGAGGATCGAAAGGAGCATCACTACCCACCACCAGGTAACAATCCCGATCCATTTTGATTTGGCTTCAAGCTTCACCCACCAACATCAACTTCGCTGGCCTCTGCTCGGTGCTCGCCCAGAAGCTTTAAAGCTGCAAGCAGAATCGAACTCGCGCGCTGACGCGTCCTGCAGCTGCCGGCAGCGTGCCAAGGCCGAGAGCAGCCCGGCGGCGCCCTCGGCCCCCGTGGAACCATGGAAGAAGCACCTCGATCGATGAATTCGGCGGCACTTCGGCAGCAGCAGGCGGGTCTCTGACAGAAAATGAAGCTTTGGAAGCCTCGCCTCCTCTGATAGAGCCGAAGCCTCCTCAGAGAAAGGATCCCCCCCTTTAAAACAGCCGCCCTCCGAGGTGCCAAGAGAAATCCGCCTTCCGGAGCTGCTCCCAGAAGCGGGCCGTCGCCAGGAGCTGCCAGGCCGCGGCCGGGACTTTGTCGCACTCCGCCATGCCCAGCTCCTGGCCGAGAGCCGGGTCTCCGGTGCTCTGCTCTGCAGCGGAGTTTGGGCTCGCAGGGGTGTCGGAATGCTCCAGGCTGCGGCCAGGGTTCTTCGGCCCTTTCCCCTGTTGCAATCGCGGTTCTACGCGCATTGGAACTCGGAGCCGGGAGCTAATCACTGCGCCTAGCCTTTGAATGCATTTGACTATCGTCATCATCAGCACCCGGTGGCTCGACCTCAAAGGCTGGGATTTCGGTTGCAGGAAACCCGACGAAGCTCCGACGAGACCCAGAAAGCTATGTGCGTCCTGCAGCAGCTGGCAGCGGCTCAAGGCCAACAGCAGCGCGGCGGCGCCCTCGACGCCCTTGGAACGTTCGTCGAAGCACCTCGCGAAAGAGAAAAGGCGCAGGCCCACATCCAACACAACAAGAAGAGAGCCGCAAAGCACTCTCTGCTCTCCGAGGCGCGCTTTGAAGCTCGCCTTCCTGAGCTTCTGGAACGCCTCACCCTGAGCCTGGCCGAGCTGCTGCCACACGGCGGCAGGGACGTCCCGGCAGAGATCTAAGTTGAGCTCCTGGCCGCGAGGGTTTGTCAAGGTGCCTCTCAGCTCTCCTCTCCCCCGGTACAAAGCAAAAGAAGCATGATGAACTTACGTGATGTACCAGCTGCCCTTCAACCTGCCGTCACGTCCTCGACATCGGAGCGGGCCAGAGCGGGCAGCAGGCCGAGGTCCCCCTGAACTGCCGCTGGTGCTGCCAGCATCACCACAGAGGTGACGAAAGCCGGGTACATCGGCAGCTGCCTGGCACCGGGCTCCTGCAGCTCCATGGAGCTTGCCACCTCGCCTGCGTCGATCGGAAGGGTGCTGTGTTCACATGATATGCGGGCAGTGCTTCGCAAAACGCTCGGACGGTCTTGGATTGAGAAGCTTCGCAGCTTCGATCTCTGCTTCCGGTCATAACAGGCCGGATTTCCTCAGGCATCCATCCATCCCTTCATCCATCCATCCATGAATGCCTTGCATTCCTACAATACTTAGTCTTATACTTCGTGCCGCTGCACATGAGACAAGGACAGTGCGGTCGCTCCGTGGGCTCCGTATCTCTCGACTGAGGCGGAACTTAAAGCCAGAGCCAGAGACAAGACGAGTGCCCCAACGCACGCTTCTCACACTTCCACCCGCCTGCACCCGCTTCGAGGTCCAGAGAAGCTTCGCGCAGGCGCTGCAGGTGCTCCTCCCTGACGCCTTTGGCAACGCGGAGGCGAGGCCACGCCCCGTCGCCCAGCAGCTCCCAGGCCGCGTCGGGGATCGCATCGCAACGACTGAAGTCCACCTCCTGGCGGCCGCTGTCGGGACGGGACGGAAGCAAAAAGGTGTGGGACTCTCTTCTCTCTGAGGCCTCCAGCTGCCGGGAGCGGCCCAAAGCTGCCAGCAGCTCCTCCGAGCCCTCGCCACGTAAGCAGAAACACCTCGGCTCCGGCAGCGGAAACGCTCTGTCTCTCTCGCCTCCACCCCTCTGCCCCTTCTCAAACCGCCAGCTCTCAGGGCCGAGGCGCCACTTGAACCTCGCCTTCCGGAGTTCCGGCCACTCCGCGGCTCCGAGCTCCGCCCAGGCCTCGCCCGGGACTTCCCAGCAAAAGTCCATCGCCAGCTCCTGGCAAAAAAAAGCCCCGGGCCACCAAACCCTGGAAGCGCGGGCGCGGCTTCTACAAAGCTGCTCGGAACTCGGAAGTCGGCGGGTCCTTCAGCTTCCGGCACCGCGCCAGCGCGGCCAGCAGCGGCTTGGAGCCCTCGCCAGAATCGCGGAAGCACCTCAGGCTCTCTCCCGGCACGGCGTCAGCTCTCCCCAAGAAAGGCTTAGAGAGAAAGGCCGAGCGGCGTATCGAGGTTCGCCTTCCGCAGGCGCTCGCTGTCCAGGCTCGCGCCCAAGCGCTCCCAGGAGTCCGCCGGGACGTCCACGAAGTCAGGGAGGTGCAGAGTGGCAGGATGCAACGTCGCCACACCCTCCACCACCGCCTCTTGGGGGATGGCCAGCCTCTCAATCAATCCGCCATCGAAGCGAACGTCGCCGGTGGACTCGAGGATCCTCTCGAGGCCCTGCTGCGTCAAGCCGCGGGCCTCTAGGCCAGGGGGTGGCCGACTTTTTTTTCCGGAGCTCGGGGCTCAGGGCGAGAGAGTCGCTCATCGCAGCTTATGTTGTAATCATCCCTCCACGCAGATTCCCCCAACCCAAAATGCGCGGTCCAAGCACAAGCAACTTCGGATCCGAGTCACCGCGGCGTCTGTCGTCAGGTCGACGGCGACCTTGCCCTGCATTGCTGCCAGGACCGCCTTGGGCACCTGGGAAGTTCCGCATGCATGTTCGTGCCTCCCTGCAACCCTCTGCAACCCGTGCCCTTTGCCTGGCCGTCGGGGCTGGGGAAGCCAGCCCGCAGGCTCGAGTAGGCTACGACCGGCTCGTCGCCTCTTGGCAACAGTGGCGGCACACTTCCGAGCAGCTGCGGCGATCCGGTGCTTGTTTTGCTGCAGCGTGCGCCTGACGCCAAAGCCGCAAAGCGCGGCTGCTCCACGTGGTGGCCGAGCCAGCCTGAGGCTTCCCGCGCGATGTAACGCATGCGAGGGCCTGCACATTCCAAACATATCGAAACCACTCAGAGCGACTGAGGAGGCCAAGCGCTGCCCAGCTGACGAAGCTCACGACCTCGGGTGAGTGAGGGGCCAGGGCACGCCGGCACACCTAAAGACACAACCCGACTTTGACTTGGACAAGTCAAGCCCGGCACGAGCCACGCAATCAGCAGCATGTCCGGCAGGACCTGTGTCCAGCTTACAAATTTCCGGATGCAGGACGCAAAACCTCCTGTAATCAACTTCCTGCACAGATCTGCACAGCACTATACACACATGCATACATAAACATATACATACATATATACGTAGGTGTGTGTGTGTGTATATATATATAAGGTTCCAGGAGGGGGGCACCATATATATATATATATATATATGTATATGTATATGTATGTATTATATATATATATATGTGTACACATCTACATTTACATCTACATCTACATCCACATCCACATTCACATCCACATCTACATCTACATACACGAACACATGCACCTACACCTACATATGCATACACACATACATACATACATACATACATACATAAATACATACATACATACAGACAGACAGACAGACATACTCCAAACAGCGTGCAGCCATGTGAAACGCTGCGGCCTTACATGCTGGCGGGGCCGTGCTCGTCCGCAGCAGCAACTGCCCTCCTCCGGCAGCAGCCACCAGCACGACGTGGATCATGCATGAATACCTCGCAGCAGATTCCCATAGAAAAAAACTGCTACCGAACGTCCCGCGACGCAGCGCCTCTGCATCTCTCTGCATCCCGCCCTCCCCCAGCTCGAATTCTACCCGAAGTCGACCGCCGAGCAGCCGCCACTTCAGTAGGGAATTCGGCTCCAGAAGCTGTCCGGGGTGGGCGATCACCGCGGCCTCGCTCGGAGCAAGACGTGTGCCAAGAACGTGATTTGTTGAGTTTAGCTTACACAGGAGCTTACAGCTGCGCTTGCAGCTGCTTGCAGCTGCCGGGCCGAGCCGAGGGGCCGCAGCGTCGGCCCAGGAGGCGTCCGGGAAGGCCAGGCAAGCCGCGAGGAAAGCGAGTGCAACAGCTCCCAAGCCGGCGAATCGCAGCAGCGGAAAGCCGCGCAGCGAAGCTTGCAGCACGTTGAGTGCCAGAATGCGGCTGAAGACTTCCAGTGACCTCGCCAGGACGAGGCCGCCCATGGTCGGCCCCCAGCCGACTTTCCCTGGCAGCTCCAGCACCGCCGAGTCGGCCTTGTCTCGGCTGGCGAAGCCCAGGCCCAGACTGAAGCAAGAGACGAGGACCGAAATCTTCATGCTGTCGAGCTGGTCGTCGGACAGCTCCAGCGCCTCGATCTGCGCCATGCCACCCAGTGCCGAGACCAGGAAGTTGGTCTGTACCAGGGCAGACACCGCGGCTTCGGCCACCTCTGCAAGACGCTGAATGATTTAGCTGCAAACTCTCCGAGTCAACCCGACTGCAAGGGGCCTGCCTCTGCATGCTTGGCTCCTGCAAGCAGCAGATGGCGCCTGAGGCAAGCGGGGACG